AGTGAGGTTGTTAATGCTTTCCTCAAGGAAGGGGGAAATATTTAAACATTTTAAAGGCAGTTTTTGCTGCACTTAAGTAATAACCTATTCAGTTGAGTTAACCCTACTTTGAAGCTTCACCTCTGAAGAAGCAGGAGAGCAGAATGTCCGTTGTGGTTCTGGACAGCGGATCCATAAGGACATGGACCGTGTGGGTTCTGGCGCGGTAAGTGGTAAGACTGCCGGTTCTGCGGGTGATAGCACGCAGGCGTCCTTTGGGACTCAGCCCGGCTTGTGAGGGGAGCGCAGGATCAGGAGGAGGTGTCCACAAGCGTTTGACGTCCGTTACGGGCCACTTGGTCGCTGTTGTAGGCTTTGCCCACCACATACTGTGTGTCATTTTTGTTTTGTCTTATAACCCTTTAGTATACTGTCAACCCCTTTACAGCCCAAGAGTGGTGCAAAGCAGGCCACAGACTAGATTTGGCCCGTGGGCCCTGATGTAGTTAGTGTATGATGACATGGTTGGCATGTGGTATGGCATTGGGCAAGTCGTTTGATTCCACTTGTCCGACTTTCCACACCTGGAATCAGGAAACAGTAAGAATTATCTTGTCATGAGGACAAAGGGCAAGGAGAAGGAGCTCGGGTAGCATGGCAGGGGCTCTGACTAGACTGGAATCCTACCACCTATTACTTGTGTGGCTGCGAGCAAGGTAGTCCATCTCTCTATGCCTCAGGGACCTGCAACTACTGGCTGCAAAACCCGCGCATACAGTGGCTGCTTTAATGCAGAAGGGCTGCTATTACTGTTTTTGACACATGTTGGTAGAATATCGTAACGTGGTATCCCTCACCTCCCCCACTGTGAATCCAGCCTTGTACATGGTGTTCTAACAAAGTAATTTCTCAGCATTTGTATTTCAAAAGAGCTTTATAGAATCAAGTCCACAAGTCAATTGCTTACTTGAGTCAAGAGATTGTGTTATCTCCTATATATCTGTCTCCTCAAAAAATTGGTGCCTTTTAAAGTCATTGGCAGGTTAGAGAGCTGTGTATTCTGCAGAGATAGTAATTAGCTTCAAGAGAGAGTCATGGGCTGTAAGGAAGTGGGAATGTGGCGGATAAGCAGAAAGTATTTCGGTCATCTACATCTCTGACACACATCCCTAACTTAGGGCATTGTTGGACAGGCCAGAGAGGTCCCTATCCAGGACTGTCATTTGATCCCCGAGTTTAATCATCACTCTCAGACTTGGTTCATTGAACGCTTGTGTGCTGGGGGTAAAGTGCACTGACCGCCCTTCCTGTCTTTAAAGAACCTAGTTTGAGAGAGGAAATGAGCATGCACACAAATAGTAGTGTGATGAACCTGGCACACAAGAAAACCAGCTCAACTTCTTGATTTGGGAAGCTCTCCCAGGTGATGGGTCAATAAGGTGTTCACCTACTAGAGTGAGGATGTCATTCTAAGCAAAGGGACCCAGAGTCTTGAGGTGGTATGTTGCATCAATTTGGTGTAGCTGAGCTGTGTTTAAGGAAGTGGAGGAGATGATGCTATAGAAGCAGACGGTCACAGAAGACACCGTGTGCTGTGCTTGGGTATGTGGACTTTGTCCTGTCGGCAAGGAAGGATGCAGAGCTGGGGCGGCACATGACGTGAGACCTGTGTTTTCGAAAGCTGGCTTCATCTGAGAGGCTGTTCTCAGTGCCAGCAGGCCTCTCCCGTTTCCAGTTCCAGTGCAAACAGCTGCTGTACAGATGGTGTAACCTTACGACCAAGGGCATTTCAGATGGAGCATGGCAAAATGGAGTTCATGAAATCTTGAGTTGATTGAGTTAATGAACTTGAATTGGGTTCATGAAATCTTACCCTTTAAGCAGCAAACAGGTAGGCTAGTTTGTGGGGAATTTTCTCGAGAAATTGGTACAATATGGCATGCTGTTGATAATATTTAAAAGTACAACAAAGTAATAATGTTCTACCGGCAATAGGTTTGCAGTTGAAACTTCTTGATCCCAATAAGATTCCCAAGGCCTCCATGACAAGTGGTCTGGTGCAGCAGTTTGAGCACACAGTCCTTCCATCCGTGACGCCCTTGGCCACCTTCATCTGCACACTGCTTGCCATCTTGGTAAGAACCCAGCAGTTGCGGCTCATATCTTGAGTTTTCTCCGCTTTTTTGTGTGTGCATGCTTGAATTTCAGTTCTCGGGCTTTTCAAACTGCAGGATCAATCCTACAGCTATCACCAGTCTGCAGATTGAAGTATTTCTCAGCAATTCTTTAAACAACTATGAACATTGTAAAGAAAGATTACTCATAAAAGCCTCTGTAAAGGAGACCTCCGGGGGCTGTCAGCTTGTCCACTAACTGGAACAAGGAAAAATAGAAAGCCTACCGATGAAGGAGCTTGGACCACCCTAGATAGAAAAATGTTTGTGGCAGGGATATCCAGGTTTGGCTATTTTTCCCCTTCAACCATGATCAAATGAGTGATACCAAAAAAATCCAAAGGTGTCTGTGCCGTGTGGACCTTGTGTATTGCTGGTGACAATAAATGGAGAAGGTCCACAATCGGGGTGTGAGCTTCAGCTAAGATTCTAATGAGCCAGCCAGCTGCTTTTATAGACTTCATTCATAACTCAACTGCCACCAGGGCCATTCCAACTGATCGCCCCCCACACGGCAGAGCAGAACTGCTCCTGCGGTGGGGCCAAGACTGTAGATCTTTGCAGGAGTAGAAAGCTTCATCTTTCTCCCATGGAGCAACCGGTGGTTTCAAACTTGCTGTTAGCAGCCCAACACAGAATCCACCAGGGCACCTTAGCTTCATTCCTCAGTGTTTTCATTTAAGTTACCCTTCATGACTGGTTCTCAACTTGTGGGTCGCAACCCCTTTGGGGGGGTGGGGGTATCAAACAACCTTTTCACAGTGGTCACCCGATTAATAACAGTAGCAAAATGACAGTGATGAAGTAGCAACAAAAATAATTTTATGGTTTGGGGGGTCACCACAACATAAGGCACTATAATAAATGGTCACGGCATTAGGAAGGTTGAGAACCACTGCTTTATGATGTAATTTTTAATAGAATTCTTTATAAACAACTTAAGGAGTCATTACACTTAGCTGCAATTTTGATGAGTAAATAATCCAAACCTACTAGCAAGACACCTGATCTCACTGAATTGCCATCTGTAATGGTCTGGAGGAGGCCAGGTACGCAGGGGTTAATTCCTCTGTTGCAGACCGAAGGTTGAGCAGTAGAACCCACCAGGTTGTCAGCAGGAGAAGAGAGGTGGCTGTCGGCTTCCCTGGTGATGACAGCTTTGGACCTCCTGTGAGGCCGTTCTTCCCGCCTCGCCGACCTCTCACTGCTGTTGACTGACTGACAGTGGACAGTGACCCTGTAGAACAGAGCAGACCTGCTCCAGAGGATCCCCGAGGCTTTAAAGATTTACAAGAGCAGACGGCCTCCTCTTTCTTCTGCAGAGGCCCTGGCAGGTTTTCAGTGCAACCCTTGAGCTTGGCAGCCCTGTGCTTAACCCAGTGCACCACCAGGGGACCTCTTCCCTTGTCCTACAGGGTGCTGTAAGTTGGAATTGTCTTGACAGCAAGGAAGTGTGTAATCAAGATCTGCAGGTCTTGTGTATTCACAGGTTCTAGCTGAGATTAAAACCTTTTTTCTAAAAATCTCAGCCTTGTAAGCTATAGCTCACAAAGCTAGATGTCTGTTAATATTTATTTTTTATTGTGATTAGCCCAGAAATATCTATGAACTATTACAGTTTAACCTGAACATTTCAGTGACTATTAATTGGCTAGTTTTAGAGGTATAATTGAGATTGTACTAGATTTCCTAGGATTTAATTATCATTTATTATTAACTTTCAAGAAGTAGAATATTAATGAGTTAAGTATTTTTGAATGCCGTGTGTGTGTGTGTGTGTGTGTGTGTGTGTGTTTATCTAGTTTGATGGAGACCTAGCTAGTTCTCCTGTTTTTCAGAGTATACAAATTGCGTTAGCCTGAAAGCCTATTTAAAATGATACTGAAGTTTCATCTTTGCCTGTTGTTTCTAGCCTTCTGTTTTCTGTCTTTGGTTTAAACCCCAAGGGCCCAAAGGTTTTCTCCGGTGTCTGATTCTTTGTGCCTTGAGCGCCTTCATGTTTGGGTGGCACGTCCACGAGAAGGCCATCCTCCTCGCCGTTCTCCCCATGAGGTGAGCCATCGCTCGGCCGGCCGGCATGGCCGCCTATCTCCCAGTGGTTCCATTGCCTTCTGTTTCATCTGTTCTTTCACGACATGCTCAGTGGGGTTGGCAGAGGCGAAGAGGTACAGGGATAGATTTCCCACTAGGACAGGGCAGAGACACGTAACTTGAGGTTCTTTCCCACTGGGGCGGGGAAGACACTTAACTTGAGGTCCTTGGAACCACCGAGGCTCTGAGGTATGCACCACCTTGTGTAGTGTTTGTTTCTTGGTAGCAGGAATAGGAGTGATTAAGAATCTCAGCAACAGGCTGTTAGGTCTGGGTGTTGAGAGGCTGCATGGAACAGAAAACGTGGGTCTGCTTGGTGTTATCACAGTGGTCCCTTGTTAACTATCACTAATCAGAGTAAGCTGGAGTCCCTTCCAGAATAAGACCTAACCTTAGTACAGCACTTCACGTTGTCTTGAACCTTATCCCACCCCTCCCTTTCATTGAAGCCTTACAACAAACTTTTAAGATAAGCTACATATGGAGATCATCCCACTGAACATCTGCAGAAGCTAGGACTCAGAAAGGTTTAATTACTTGCCCATGGTCATACAAAAAGCACCCCCCCCCAATAAAATGATTAATTGAAGAAGAAAAAAAGAGTTAAGTCTCAGAGTTAGGACTTGAACCTGAGGCTTCCGAGTCCCATGCTTGAAAAGCATTTTAAACCCAGTAGTGTACTCTTCAGGAGCAGGGCTGCTCACTGTGAGGCTGGCAGTTCAAACCCACCAGCTGCTCCATGGGAAAACAGTGCAGCTGTCCAGCCCACTCAGGGATGCTGGTTTGGCTTTTGAGGACTTTGGTGTCCCAGTGACTGAGCTACTAAGCAACAAGCCTGTCGTTCGAATCTACCGGCCCCCCAGAAGAAAGATGTCTGCTTCAGCGTAGGTCACAGCTGGGAATCCTGCGAGGCGACTCTGGCCTGTAGGGTCGCTGTCGGTTGGCATCGACTCAGTGGTTTTCGTGTCCATTTTATGCAGAATTTGAACTCAATAGATGGTAACAGAGCTCGACTTGTTCCCGTAAATCTTGAGAGAGGTGATTTAAGCGCTGAAAGAACCCTTGGCAAATTTGTCAGATCAGTGTTTACGGTCTGTGTGGGGTCGTTTAGCAACTCAGATAAAAAGTAGAGCGAATTAAAACTCAGCACAAACATTTTTACCAGAACTTCGTGCTGTGGAATTCTGCTTCAGTGCAGGTCACAGCCTTGGGAGTCCTGTGGGGCAGAAGAAGGAGAAGTGGGAGGTCTGACGTTACCTGGGCAGCAGACCTCCCTTTCCTGGGAGAGTGCAGCTACTCAGGGAAGCAAGATTCTTTTCTGGAAACTCCCCAGTTCAGGCTGGCACAGTTCTTATCTATCGATTGCCTAACATTTCCCATTAAAAAAATTAATATTCTCAATTGAATTGTGCTTGTAACAAAAATCAGTATGTTATTTTCGGCTTACTCTAGTTACAGAAGTAATAATGGATATTCTGGCTGTTGTCAAGTTCAAGTTTGTGTTGTTGTTTGAAGGGATTATGATAAGAATTTTTCCTTTTAGCCTTCTGTCTGTGGGCAAAGCAGGAGACGCTTCGATTTTCCTGATTCTGACCACAGCAGGCCACTACTCCCTCTTCCCTCTGCTCTTCACCGCACCAGGTAACAGCTGCTGCGCAGATGCACCTGGCGGCCCTGACCTTAGTGTCGCCCCAGGGAGCACCGGGAGGGAGAGAGCCTGTCGTTTCTTAAACAAAAACCTCCAGCTTCCCCTCACCCTTGGTCTCTTAAATGTCACAGAAGTGCCTGCGCACCGCTAAGCATCTTTCGTGCTGTATAGCTGTGTCTCGGTGATTATATTTTGTGTTACGAACCTCTCTCTGTCAGCCAAATTGTCATCTGGATTTTTTTCTTATTCTTTTAACAGAACTTCCCATTAAAACCTTACTCATGTTACTGTTCACCATCTATAGTATTTCCTCGCTGAAGATGCTATTCAGGTAATCAACCCCCCCAAAAAAAATACCCCCACACATTAATAATTATTTTATTCTTGTAGATTAGAATGTAACCATATTACCAAAACAATAAGCCCATGGAAAAACTACCCATAATCCATCACACACAATCTCATTGTGTCTTTAGTTTGGGGGAATATTTGAAGAGAGGCTACCTGGTCTACAACATAAAGCATTATCTGAAAGCTAAAAATTGGAATGTAAAACCTATGCAGTATGAATAAAGCCAGATGAATATGTATGTTTATAGAGCAAACTTAAAGGAATCGTATTAGAGAGAGGTTGGTGGCATTTTTTTATCTTTTGAACTTTCTGTAATCTTACCTCTCTAAATGTTTAAAGTTCGCTCACTGTTCTTATCTGGATCCAAAAACACTCATTCACCCAATTATTTTAACACACGGCTTTATATTGTTGACCCTGTTGTTTGACTCTCGCCCCCTCCCTCTCCCAAAGGCAGGGCTGATCCCTGCCCAGGGACAGCATCGCAGGATGCTGACGGGCTAACTGTGGCTGTTGAGATGCTGCTGTTCTCTAAACGTGGAGTTTAGAGCACGCGCTGACTGGCCTGCACTGTACTCTCCATCCAGGCAGGGCAGGGGGGAAGCCGAAGCTTGGGAAATGTTTGGCAAACCAAGACGGCTCATCTGAAGGCAGGCTTGTCTCTTCTGTTTTTCCTTCTTCAGAAAAGAAAAACCTCTTTTCAATTGGATGGAAAAAGTCTACCTCCTTGGCCTGGGGCCTCTGGAAATCTGCTGTGAATTTATATTCCCTCTCACCGCCTGGAGGCCGCAGTACCCCTTCATCCCTTTGTTGCTGACCTCGGTGTATTGTGCAGTGGGCATCACCTATGCGTGGTTCCAACTGTATGTGTCGGTGCTGACTGACCCCGCTGTCCTCAGGACAAAGAAGCAGTGACTGCCGGAGCTGTGTGGATGTGTCCCGAGCAATGATCCCACGGGAAGCTCACCAGAAGTGGAGAAAGTTGCTGCTGGCCTGAGCCTTTCACTCCAGCACCTCTGTTCAGAGGGCCCTTGTGCCAAATTGGGCCTGGCCCGGCCTAGCAACCTGATCATCACCATGGCGAGACACCACTTGTCCTCCATCCGCAGTGAAATGCATCTGAAATAAATCCTGCCTGCCCCGTTAAGATTGTCTGAGACAACAATTCTGTCTTCTCTGCTTGCTCAAGGTGAGCAAAGAGTCTGACCTTGGCAAATTTGCCTAATTATTTGTAGCTGATGAGGCCCTCCTCTGACTGTAAAGCGTTGCCCGAGGCATGTGCTCAGGGAAATGTAAATCAAATAGCACGTTGTGTTTGGGCTCCTAATGGTGCATCATGCCCAGCTCCCACATTTATATTTGCTGTGGACGTTCTGTTCTCACGAGCAGAGGAGGTTGTGCCCACTCTGTACTCCTTGTTCCAGGAGACTCTGTTTCCTTTCTTATTTTCCCCATTGAAATGATACAGCGTCCTGCTCAGAAAGCCAGGAGAGGTGTTCAAGGAGCTGGCTTGGCCAGGTGGTAAACTGCCCACTGCAGGTCGTTTTATGTTGACTGGGGCACACCACGCACCATCGTTTGTCCTAATAGCACCAGACCCTGCCACTTTGATGATCCGCCCTCCACCTTTGCTCATGGCTTTAAAACCCAGGGAGGGGACAGAAGGGCCTTCCCCAGCCTGGTGTCATCTTCTCCTTAAGAGTGCTGCAGAGCACCAGTTTGCCCAATTGCTGCTCCCCCTGGGTAGAGGTTGACTTCCACCATTGACAGCTGTTTGATTTTATTGTGCTTATTTCCCTGTTTTCCCGGTGGGGGAGGGCATAACATTCCAAAGCAGACTGTACTTGTCTTGATCGTATTCAATATTTGGCACAGTTGAATGAATGAAACACTGCCCCAGCTGTGGTTACCATCTGAGCGTGTATTAGTAGCCCAGTGTGGTCCGCACATCTGTACCAATCAGGGGAGCAGCCAAAAAATAAACAAAACGAAACTTAGAAGAGGCATCCCAACAAGTCCAAGTTCACCGGACTTTGAAGACCTCCCTTGGGAACACGAGTCGAGTCCGAGCTGGTGCCGAGATCGGCAGTAAAGCACGTGTCAGACTTCGCAGACATTGGTGAGTTCCAGCAACAGATTACACACAGCTTCTTCACAAAGATGCGGCCTCAAGAAGTGTTCATGTCTACAGTTCCGCAAAGCCTGGAAGGACAAGTTAGGGTTACGGTCAGACTTTAGGCAATGAAGGTGAACTCGTTGCCGCCTGCTGCCTAATTTGCATGTGGTGACCCAAAACAGGCCAAGATAAAAGGAAGGTGCCAGGGGTAGGAGCAGAGCTGGGAAGAAAGGGTTAAGAAGATGTGTCATCTTTGCAGCCCAGCTTGCCCGCCTGGAAAGCACTCTGGTGGTGGGAGCATTGCAGTACCAGGAGTGCTCCCTGTGGACCATCCACTGCAGTGTGTGTTAGCCATTAGCGGGAGAGACTCTCGTAACCACAAACTCCTCTTGGAAGAAGACACTGTGCTCTTCGGTCGTTTGGTACCATTACCCGTGAGGGCGGCCAGAAAAACTTTGGCTCATCTGCCGCCTGCGGTGCGCCCTAGCCTGGGGGTCAGCAGACGAGGCAGAATAGCCGATCCTGTCCCTCACAATAATTTAAAAATTACTCAAGACCCATAATTATATATATATATATATATATATATATATATATATATATATATATATATATATATATATATATATATATATATATATATATATATAACCATAAGTATATTTTTACAAAGGAAATAGTACTATCTGAATAATACCCTCTAAAAATGTTCACTGTTACTTCAGAGCCACACACAGTCCTGAAGGAGCCACACAGGGCTCGAAAGGCGCGGTCTGCTGACCGTGCTCTAGACAAAGCAAGCTGCTGCAGTGATATTAAAACAGTGTTTAAAAATCATTTTATTAGGGGCACATGCAACTCATCACAGTCCATACATACTTCAATTGTGTAAAGCACATTTGTAAAAACAATTTTTTATGAGGTGTTGAGGGATCAGGTATCAGGCATCAAAGACCCAAAACAAAGAATTATATCAATGAAATGAGAATGAGGGAGCGCAGTGTGGAGACCCAAAGCCCATCTGCAGACAATTGGACATCCCCTCACAGAAGGGTCACAAGGAAGAGACGAGATGGTGCAGTACAGCACTGATGAAACACAACTTTCCTCTAGTTCTTAATGCTTCCTCCCCTCCACCCACTATCATGACCCCATTCTACTTTACAAATCTGGCTAGACCAGAACATGTACTCGGGTACAGATAAGAGCTCGCAACACAGGGAATCCAGGACAGATAAACCCCTGAGGACCAGTAATGAGAGTAGTGATACCAGGAGAGAAAGGGGGAACTGATCACAATGATCTACATATAACCCCCTCCTTGGGGGACGGAGAGCAGAAAAGTGGGTGAAGGCAGACATCGGTCAGTGTAAGACATGAAAAAAATAATTTATAAATTATCGAGTGTTTGGGAGGGAGGGAGGGGGAAAAATGAGCTGATACCAAGGGCTCAAATAGAAAGTTTTCACAATGATGGCAACAAATGTACAAACGTACTTGACACGATGTATGTATGGATTGTGATAAGAGCTGTATGAGCCCTAATAAAATGATTAAATGAAAAAAAACAATCTTTAAACCTCGGAAACTTGGAGTCATTACTGTCTCCCAGTGATGCCTTCTATGTGACACCCCCTTTTATAGTTATTTTGTTGTTGAGACTGTGCAGCCGAGCATGCGCACGTACTGTTCTGTGTCACTGATCACATTCGTTAAGTGGTGCCGCCTCTGCTAATTTAAACCCCCAGCCCCGTCAGATACAGTCCTTGCAGCGGTCGACGCTGCTCCCGGATGACTCTTAAAAGAGCTTACTGCACAAGGTAGATCATCCTGCTCTTGCTCAGCCTCGCTGTCCTCAAGTGCGTGCTGACTCCGAACTGCCCCTGGGGGTTCCCAGACTGAAGCTTAAGGCTTAAAGACGATCTCAGGGCAGCAGTTTCCATGGCTCTAAGAAGTCCATGAGAATTCAAAATTCTATTCTGCATTTTCCTCCTCTTGGTCAGGATTCTTCCATAGAATCTCTGATCAACAATCCTCTTTTACTAGGTCAGTGAAGTTACTCGTTTTTTATAAATCCAAAATCAGAACAATATACTTAATCATGTGCTTGTAAGAAGGGCAGAGCCCTTAATATACCTGCGTACCATGCCTTAAAAACAGAGGTTGCTTATAATTATAAAAATTGAATCCCAAAGAGGCTCCCAGAAGAGCCTTTAGGACAGATTTTTTGTTTCCCTGACGGAGCAGACTGCTGACTACGCAGTGTATTGTATTAAGTACCTCACCAAGTAAGCTCTCCACACGGGCAGCTGTTTGTTAGCGCATGCTTGGGGCATGCTGGGCTAAAGTTCCTCTTCTGACTCTCACGTGCTGGTCTCTGCAGCACACAGAATGAGGTCCTACTCCCATGTCACATGACAACTCTGACTGATGGACAGAGTGCCGGCTGCTAGGCATTATCTCATTTAATCCTTGCTCAAACTCTGCAAGGCAGATGTATTGATTCCTTTAAAAAGATTGGATTTACTATTGGATGCTGTTAAGGAAGCTTTGGTGGTGCAGTGGTTACACATTGGGTTGTTAACCACTAGGTCAATAGTGCAAAACTGCTAGGTGGTCCTAGGGACAAATGAGCCTTTCCACTCCCTTAACGAGTCACAGTCTTTGAAACCCACAGGGGCAGTGCTGCCCTGTCCTACAGGGTGGCTGTGAGTCTAAATCAACTCAATGGCATCGAGTTTGGTTTATTGGATGTTGGGCACTGTGGTGAGGTGGTATAGGTCAAGAAGTGAACAAGAAAGACCTATGCCTGTCCTCAAAGGCTTTACATCCTGGTGGTTAGAGGGTAGTAAGGGCCAGGAAGATTGGTAATGGCTGCAGTTGAACAAGCAGAGCCCAAATTATGCAGAATCTCAGGCTTTCAATAGCAAGTAGATTTTATTGTAAGTGAAGTGGGAACAAAGGGTTTAAAATTTTCAGAGTTAGACTTTAAAAATGTTTTATGTAAAATTCATAAAGTTCCAGATCTCCTAGCTCATCAACCAAGAGGCAAATCACTGTGATCAATATTTAAAGTATTCCAGAGATACAATAGAGACAACTATTTATATATACACAAATAATAACATTTTATACACTGCTGATTGTAGGATTTTTAAAATATTTTGAAGTTTATATCAGCCCCTCTAGAATTACATCAGTTTCAATAGCTGCATAATATCTTTATTTATTAATTCCCTCTGAAGCAAATGTGTTTCAAAGCAATACATTATTATCTCACAATGTCCATAGGTCAGGATGCCAGTTTCAGTTTATCTGGGTCTGCTTCAAATTCTCTCACAAGGCTGAAATGAAGGCACCTTTCCTGGAGATGTGGTCTTATTTCAAAGTTCAACTAGGAAGGACCTGCTTCTACACACTCATGAGTGTTGGCAGAATTCAATTTTGTATGAGCCAACGGGCCTCTAGCTGTTGGATGGAGGCCACTGACATCCTTGCCATGTTGACTTCTCCATAGGGCAGCTTTGTCAGACCCAGCAAGCGAGAGCATCTAACAAGAGTAATGCTACAATCTTATATAGCATAATTCAAGAAGTGGCAGCCTCTTCTCTGGGCTGCATACTATTGGTTAGAAGCAAGTTTCACCCACGCTAAAGGAGAGAGCACTATACAGCTTAAGGGTACCAAGAGGCAGAGCTAATTGAGAGTTATCACAGTCTGTCCATCATCAGTATCCATTGGCTAGATGAGTAAAAACTTATTCGAATTTAAGACGTCCCCTTTGGATGTTTAAATTTCCAGTTTTTGTCAATAAACAAGTGCTGCAGTGACTATCAGTATTTTATTTTGCACATGTTTAGGAGTAAGTTTCTGGACTAAGGGTTATATGTGTTTATAATGTTGCTAAAAGCTGCTACATCGGTCCTAGAAGTGGTCCCCATTTATGTTGCACAGGCACTGAATGAAGATGCCTGGTTCTTCATGCACCTGCCAGCTGAGTGTGGTCCATCGACCTTGGAGCACTTTGCCAATGTCACCTAAGTACTCTTCATTTGTATTTCTCTTAGACATTTTTAAGATATCTGAGTCAACCTGATGGCAGTGAGTTTGGTTTGGGCCGGTTCCCTACTGCTGCTACAACAGAAACGCCACCCAACAACCTTCTAGAAAACAAGCAACATGAACAGTCCACCAGCAGATAGAAACCCACATGGCGAGTAACTGCAAGAGGGCTAAAGGTTTGGGACCCTCTGGTGGAGGCTTAGAATCGTGGTTTTATGGGACAGCCCAGTTAATTGGCTTAGTAATGTGTTGAGTGCTTCTGTTCAGTTGAGTAGGGCTTAAGGTCTTGCAAGTGAGTGCCCACAACACAATATTTGATCTCTGTTCGCCTGGAGCAAGAGGGGAAGGAGAGTCAGGGTAGGAAAGAATATGAAAATGTGGCTCCCTGCCTCGCCTCCGCATACACCTGGCTTCTTTGCCAGAACTAAATCATGCCTGGCTACTGTTACTGACCATTTTGATAAAAGGTTCCATAGAGAATCCTGATCAAAGAAGGGAAAATGCAGAGCAGAATTTTAAATTCTCATAAATTCCAGTCTTTCTGGAGAATCGTGGATGGCAGATTCTAATCCCTGAGATATTCTATTGCCCTGAGATCATCTTTAGCCTTTGAACCAAAAATGTCCCCCATAAGTCTTCTTAAAACCAAACAATAATGTAGTGAGTAAAAAACTTCCACCATGTGCTTTTAAGATCTGTTTACATAGAAGCAAATTGACAGCCACAGCTCACAGCCTTAGCTAGGAACCTTAGGGGGGAGTGGGTTTAGGTGAAGAAGAGGGACAGTTCAGAAAAGAAAGGTGAGAACCGTTCACAACTCTAAGAACATGATGAACATCACTCGAGTGTGTGTGCAGAACCTGTCAAATTGGGATCTGATTTGCTCTGTCCTCAACAACAAACCAGGAGCATCGTTTGACTCTGACAAACATGGTGTCTCAAAGAGTGTAAATTCATTCAGAAGCCAAGTGGTTACATAGGGCTAGCTTCTTTTGGAAGCTAAGCCTTGACTGCTCCATTTTAATATATATATATAGCATTTGCCAGAAACTTTATAGACATTTAAATAGCTAAGGGTTTAGCTTAATCGGCCTGGCATTCAGAGTTTACATAATCCTTCTGTGGAACATGTTTTGTTTGTTCCATTTCTTTTTTATTATTGTTTACAAAGAAACACTAGTTGAAAACTTTTGCAATTATTAGATCAAAGCATGTGCATGTTTGAAACACTTGCTGCCTTCCAGGAACTATTCCAAAACACAGGCTCCTTTGAAAATCCTAGCTCAAAGGTTACAGTTGAGGGTGTACTTTTTATAGCCATACAAGGACCTTTATTTATTTACTGTGGGGTCCATGTGGGTGGAAATAAAAGCAACGGCAGGGTGTTTGGTGACTGACGATGCCACTTCCAAGATGCATGTGCCCGTTGGCATTAGCCTCTGGTGTCGTCAACATCCATCCACCTACGTAACATTTTGATTCCACTAGTGAGCAGACCCGGCAGGAAGGGCTGTACTCTTGGGAAGTAAACAAAAGTTAGACAGTTACTTGTCAGAATGTTTAAATATGTGTGTGTGTTTATTTTTATTTTCATTACTCAAACGTTCAGGGAACCTCTCTTCTTTCAGCCTTTTGCAACCCCAGGGTGCTGCCACCCACCCTGAATCTCCAGAATGAACCAATTGATCCCGTTCAGAGTTTTCCAAATTCTTAGCTGCTGGCCAGAGTCCAACTGTCATCTTTTACGTTTTGGGGAATGCATAAAGAAACGTCTGGAAACCCAGAAAATGAAAACGAATTTTTAAAAATATATTTATTTCTTTATTTAATCATTTTATTGGGGTCTCGTACAACTCTTATCACAATGAAAACTAATTTGTATGGAGTGTCCGGTGTTCGGTTTCTCAGAACTCTCCATGTCCACTTGAGGGTGTTGGGCGTCCAGATGGTGTGTCCAATAGGGACCTTCTGGGTGGGAGCGGCTGGGCGGGCGGTGTAAAAAAAGACAAACATCTCCTCATCCTCACCCATATTGGTTCGTTTGATGGACTTGGATCCCCTAAACCCAGGCCTCCCGCCGCCCACCCGGTCAAGGGGATCGTGGCGGGCCGGGGCGCGGCAAGGCGGCAGGCCATCATCGGATAGCCGGCCGTCACCGGCGGGAGGGGGGAGGGGGCGGGGCCGGGACGTCGCGGGCCGGGCCGGCCGTCGGGCAGACCGGAAGGTCGCACGCGGACTTCCGGCGGCAGCGCGCGCGGGGAAGCGTTTGCGCAGCGCACCGCCCTGCGCCGTGCCCTTCAGCCCGGTTCCCGGAGGAGCGGCCTGGCGGCGTAGGCGCCAGCGGGGGTCGCGGGGTTTTCCTTGCCGTTGGCGTGCTGAGGCCAAGCCTCCCGTCGGCACGGCGTCACGATGATGACCGGACGGCCGGGCCGAGTGCCCTTGGAGTTTCTGCCGGACGAGGCCCGGAGCCTGCCCCCGCCCAAGCTGACCGACCCGCGGCTCCTCTACACCGGCTTCACGGGCTACTGCGCCGGCCTCCTGGATAACGCGATCCGGCAGAGGCCGGTGCTGCTGACGGGTGAGGGCCTCCGCCTCCCATCTCCCGGGGTCTGGTTCGCCTCGCTGGCCCGCCTCGTGGGGCCTTATGTCATTTGGCATTGAAGTGTAAGGAAGCAGACATGCCCACAGGACTCGGGACCGGGTCCCCTGCGCCCCCGCCCCTCTGTTCCCCTTATTTCCATGGGGTGTGCACAGATGGACCTTCACCCCCTGTCATGCACTGCAGTACCGCATTTCATTTTCGCATGCCTCGTGGGCGGCTATGGTCCACGAAGGACAAAACTGACCCTGAGACCTTAAAGCAGCTTCCTCAAGGTCATATGGCTAGTAAGTAGCGGAGCCCGTTTTAGAACCTAGTGTATGGTGGGAACCAGTGCTGTCAATCAGTGAGCATAGGAACAACCAGGGTTTTGTTAAAATGGGGGTTCGGATTCAGTAGGTAGGTCTGGGGAGGGACTGGATAGTGCATTGCTCACAAGCTCCCTGCTGCTGCTGTTGGTGTGGGGATGGTACTCGCCTGGGTGTGTGTTGTCGTCTGTGGCAGAGTCGCTTCTAACTCACAGCGACTCCCCCGTGTACACCGGCATGAAACCCAGCTGGGTCCTGCACCATCCTCACAGGTGTTAGGATTGAGCCCATTGCCGCCCCCACTGTGCCAATCCACCGCATCAAGGCCTTCCTCTTTCCTGTCTCTCTACTGTACCACGCATGATGCCCTTTTTACTCCCAGGGAAATCTACCCAGGGGAGAGAGGCTCTAAACCACTGGGGTCTATTGCTCACTCTGGCCCACTAGAGAGACCGACTATCTTGTTAAAGAAGAAGACCGTCAACAAGAGGGATCGACACTGACTGCACCCGTGCGCTCCACATGAGAACAATTGTGAGGATGGCACAGGGCCGGGCAGTGCTTCGTCCTGTTGCACACAGAGTTGCTATGAGCCGGATGGCACCCAGCAACAGCGTCCTCATATTAGCTGGTGCAATCGCTATATTAAGTATTGCGTGTCCAAAGGGAGGGAAACTTTGGAAGAGAGGCCCTTGAATCAGACAGATACTGGAAGCTTCCAGTGGGAACAAACTAAAATTCATTGCCATTTGTGTTGATTTCCAGCTCACAGCATCCTTATGGTACAGGGTAGAACTGCCCCTGTGGGTTTGCGAGACTATACCTTTCTCCTGCAGAATGGCTGATGTGGTTAGCAGTTCTGTGCAGAGTTATCTCCTTGGGTACTAACCAAAAAAAAGATGGTTCAAATCCACCTTTTTAGACCTGAAGACAGGCCAGGGCATTGGTAGTCAAGAAAATCCTATGGCTTGACATGAGTTGGAATTCACTTGAAGGCAACCGGTGTGGGTAGCTTGGGTTGGAAGAAAGCTAAGGTGACGGTTAAGCCAGCAAGAATCACTCCTGCAAGCGCCTTTTTCGCCTTCTAGCTACATGTCCTGCCTGGTGGTTGGCTCCCGCTTATCAAACCCCAGCACTTCCAGTGCTCAAGTAGTACCAGAATCCCCGCTCCCTCAGAGAAGACCCTTCCTCACAGAAGGAGTCAACCCTGCCCATTTTTGCCTCTGAAGATGTGGTGGTGTCTCCTTTTTGATGGCCAGTCCACGTTTCCCCAAGCCCCTCTCAGAGTGTAATGAGAAGATCCAGTGTGGAATGAAATGTTCCTACTCCACTGCTTCTAGCTGAGTCACCGTGGGCAAGCCTCTTAGAGCCGAAGTTTTCCACCTGTAAGATGCTACTACTTTATCTATTGTCAGTGAAGTGGGATTCTGTAGGTAAAGTTTGTGGCACAGAAAGTACTAGACAAAGTCCCCTAGCTGCTGTTAATGCAAGCATTTTACCTTGCTTGTTAAACCTTTACTGAGCTTTCTCTCTGCCAGGCACCGGGTTGGTATGGTCCACATGGGACGGAGACTGTGCAGAGAAGTAAAGGTTGGCAGGAACATGGCGTGTTCCACATAGTCTAGCCCCGTTGTTATCAAACTCGCATTATTTGTGCTTAGTTGTTGTTAGGTTCAGAGAAATAGGAGTATAGTGGTTAAGAGCACATACGTTTGACATCATCTCCACTTGTCACGTTTGATTCTGGGGAAATTAGCTACCACTGTGAATTTGTTTCCTTATTGTTAAAATGGGGATAGTGCCCACCTCTGTGTGCATCAAGGAGTCCTGGCGGTTCAGGGAGTGGGTAAGCACTTGACCACTCACAGAAAGGCTGGAGGTTCAAACCCTCCAGCTGCTCCCTAGGAAAGCCATGTGGGAATCTGCTTCCAGGAAGATTTACATACAGCCTGGGAAACCCAGTGGGGGCTCTTCTACTCCTACAGGGTCTCTCTGAGTTAAGGGTTGAGTTTTGTGGCTCTTGAGAATCCAATGAGATGATGCATGTAAAGCACTTAGCCCAGGCTTCCTGTGTTCCTGGGACTTCGCTGCATGGAACTGGTTATCCTCAGCAGCATTTATTAATATATGTTGTGCCTGTCCACCTCTGTGCCTGGCATAGAGTTCTCAAATAGTCATTAAATGAATGGGCATCTGTGGACTATAAAGAAGTATAAAGATCAGTTTTGCTGTAAGCTTATACACTTCAGGTAACAGGTGTGACATCATACATTTTGTTTCTAAGGACATTGGAGGCATGGGGGAGGAGAGAGAATTGTAATGGGGTTTCAGACCCTGGCCCTGGAGAGGACCTGTGCATTCTGTGGGTAAATGGAGAACTCACCCTCACGGCCATTCAGTGGTTTCTGACTCATAGCAACCCTGTAGCCCAACAGGACAGAGTAGAACTGCCGCTCTGGGTTTCCTAGGCTGCCGCTCTGTACAAGAGCAGGCAGCCTCATCTTTCTCCCGCAGAGCAACGGCTGACCATGTTGCCCACTGGACTACCAGGGCTCCTTATTCTGGGGGAAGAATTGGGAGGATTTTTTGGTCAATGAAATCAAATCGTACAGATCTTTTTTCAACGTAGCAGGAAGCATTAACAGCTGTGTTCCTTCCATCGCTTGTTTGTGCACCTGTGTTGCTGGTTATTGCTCCTCAGTCGGTGTGTTTGAGCTGGCCCTACTCATAGCTACCCCGTGGGCAGCGGGACAGGACCCTGCCCAGCCCTACCTGGAATTTACAGTGAGGTTAGTGACCGAGAGTAGTGCACAAAATTAAATGTTTCTTGGTTTCTAGTTCCATATATCAGTGTTTTGTGGTATCCTCAAAGAGCATGGTGGCTTCCAGGTGGAGATTCCCTGAGGAAAGGAAAGAGGGGTAAGAGGGTCTTGGTGGGTGGGTGTCAGCGAGAGAATACTATTTAGAGAGGAGAGCTTAGGGAAATGGGGACCTGGGGAGAGATCAACCCAGTCTTGGTGCTGGAATGACGTGTACACAGAAGCTTTTCCCTGAGGGATGCAGGGAAGCAGCGAGCATGTGGGGGTGTGTGCTGTGCAGAGGCACCTGGGAGAACTCACTGGCAGAACACTGAGAACTCTGGCTCAGTGTTGGCAGGTGGCCCCTGGGGGAAGCAGTGATCCTTTGGGCTGAGAGAAGATGCTAAAGAGCTGTGGGGCTCAGCCCGCTCCGGGCCTGATGAACTGACAGGACTCAATGGCTCAATCCTCCTGAAGGGGGTCAATTAGGAGCAGTGGCCCTCAGTCGAAAAGCACAACTCTGAAGAGATTCCCAAGGTATTTTGGCTCTGCCTTTACAGACTCTTACATGATAAAAGGAAGACTAAGTACAAGCTCCTGGATGCTGGACTAAGAGGGGGAACTGTGTCTTCTCCCCAATAATCACCCTTAGACCTAAATTGACAGATGGACAGAGGTACAGCCCTCGATGAATGATCTTAAAGTGGTTTGTTTTGTCTCCAGTGTACTGATCCCTGTTTGCTTGTTCATTGGTCACAAGAACAGTAGCTAAGCTATAAATGTAGTGCATCAAGAAAGCGCTGTACTGTACTCTCTCTCACAACGCACGTTCGTGAAGTCTCCAAAGGGACAAGAACAAGACAATTGCGGAGACGTAGCATCCAGACCGCGTGCCGCTCCACTGAGGCCCGCTGCTGGGGGCGCCAGCCCCTTCCTGTGAAGGGCCGGCTCTGCACTGCCACGTGGGAAGCTCTTTTCGTTGAGTGTGTTGAAAGAGCCATATCAACCCATTATGTGTCTGAAATGTAAAAACGTGCCGCTTAGAACACACTAACCGATGTGTGCTTTCTCTGGGATCTGCCCTTTGGATTTCAGGGGTGCATCGCCAGCTTCTGTACGTGACTTCCTTTTTTTTTGTTGGGTATTATCTTACGAAGCGCCAAGACTATTTGTCTGCTGTGAAGGACCATGATATGATCGCATATATGAAATCACATCCGGAGGATTTCCCTGAGAAAGGTATTTGCACTGTTCTCTCTGGTTACTTCTACCCATGTCTGTGGCTTCCGGGATTTCGTCTATAGACAAGAATTGTCTTGAATTCAGATGTGCAAGTTCTGACTGTGTACCCCCACACCCCTTGGTTACAGCCAACAAAATCCATATCCCCTCTGCCTTCCCAAGGAGTCCTGGTAGCATAGTGGGCTACACACAGAGCTACTAACCACAAGATCAGCAGTTCAAACCCACCAGCGACTCCTTGGGAGGTAGATGAGGCTATCTGCTCCCGTGAAGATTGAAAGCTCGAAGGGACAGGTCTGTTCTGCCCTAGGGTTCTCTGTGAGTGGAATCGACTCCATGACAGTGAGTTTGGGTCCTGTTGATTTCGGCCTTTCACAATCCTCCTGCTGCTCTGGGCCCTGCCCGACATGCTGCCTCTCCAAGTCTTTCTCTCTCACTTCCCAAGTGTCAGCGATCCCTGTCAGCTTCTTCTTCAGTAGTTCTCACCTGTGAACTCCCTCTCCTCTCCAGGGACATGGCGCTGAGAAGCGCTTGCTTGGACTGTGTGCTGCACTTGCCCTAGCCTGCCTCGGCCTTCCAGCTTAACTTCTGTCTGCTGAAAGTTCCAAATCAAATCAAATAAAACAAATATTGTCCCTGTGATAAAAGCCACGCTACACTCCTTACCATGGTCTCTTTTCCCAGCTGAGGTTAATTACCTACCCTCTGTCTTTGCTTCTCACAGGCTGGATCTTCATGTTTGTGTCCATAGCCTTTAGCACAAAGCCCACTGAGCAGGCTGACACGACCTGCCCAGAGCCTGCCTCAGTATCTGTATCTCCTGTTGCTCCACACTTGTCCTGTGAAATGCTTTGTCCTGAGCCTGCCCAGTATCATTTGGTACATGCTGTCCCTTCTTCTGGACACACTTTCTTCTCTCTCGCCCCTATCCCCACCTTGTCCAGCCAGTAAACACACTGTCTCCATGAAGCCTTTTCCCAGCTACAGGCAGGGACTCCCTCAGCACACTGTACCGATCTCTCCATCTGCAAATTTAATCGGATTCTAAGTGTTTTCTTGCCTGTATTTCACATGCCTGCACATTACACACAGGTGCACATACATCAGGCTGTATGTTGGGAGCTTAATGTCATAGGAAATGTTTTTTGTTTTTTTAATCTGTGCCAACCCAGGGCCTTAATAAATGACTGAGTGAATGAGTATCAGGAAATTTTTGAACTTGTGAATATATAAATAGACTTTCCTGTTCATGTAAATGTGCAGTATAAAACTTTTACAGTTTTTGGCTGAAGGGATAGCCTATTTAATGTCCCCGTGGCCTTCCATCCGTATTTGGTGTTTAGGGTTGAACCAAACGGTGTAGCTCTTTGTGTCCTAGAGACTGTGAAGACCAGTGCAAGCCCCCAGGCCACTGACCTCAAGTCAAATCCGATTCTCAGTGACCACCTTACATAGCATTTCTAGACCGCCAGTCTTCGCAGTAGCAGACCTTTCTCCCACCAGGGCTTCTTAAAGACTCGTCCACAGCCCTGAATAAAGGTTGTGTCAGGGAATGTGGAATATGTCGAACCTTTGAGGGTACAAGCTAGAAGGAATCTTGGAAATACTGATTTCTAAGGTGAGACCCAGTGGCTGGGCTGGTCCGAAGTCCCAGACCTTCTAGCGGTGTGCTGAGAGGTCTGTACGAGGCCCCTCTGCCTGCAGGCGTGCACCACGAGGTTCATGCTCCCTTTGGCAGCACGTCACCTGTAGGTGTGTCTAGAGCCGTGTACCAGCAGCAGGGAGATGGAGACCCAGGCCGTGGCCCCTCTTAACGTACCTCTGCCTATTCATTCTTTTCATCTGGCCATGCCATCTGGATGTCACTGCCACCAAATCCAGTGCCACTGAGTTAATACCAACTTATAGTGAGCTCGCCGTAGGAGTTCCAAGACTGTAGGTCTTTACACGAGCAGAGAGCCTCATCTTCCTCCCGAGGGGCAGCTGGTGAGCATGAACCTCCCACCTTGCAGTTAGCAGCCCAGTTATTATCCGACAGGCTGTCACGAAAATTTTTCTCCAGAGTTCCTCTTCACTACGTGAAACAAAGCCTCCGTGATTCACAGGTGGTGGTGGAGGTCCAGAAGACAGGAGGGTCTTGGGGACTTCTCTCCAGGAGAATGCTGAGCGCTCATCTTCCTTTGAGTGGTACGGTCTTTAAAGTTAGTAAGACTCATGGTTGTGATCTTTCCTCTTGTAGATAAGAAGAAGTATGCTGAAATTCTTGAGGAATTCTATCCAGTGCGTTGAAGCCTCACAGAATCCCGATTTTGCTGAAACTGCCCCTTCGGAATTCTATGGAACATGTTTCCACACCTGAAGTTTGCGTTAACCTGTATGTTAGCACCTTGCGATTAAAAGCCTTTCTGAGTACTCTGACTCCTTTTATCTTAAGAAAAAGAGTTCATCTGGGAATGATCAGTTACCACTCACCCACTGGGAAGGCATCTGACAGATTTCAAAAGGGAGTTAAGTTCTAACTCAAAGGGCAGCGAACTCCAACCCCCCGGGCCAAATCTGGTCTGTGAAGAAAGTTTTCCTGGAACAGAGTCATGATCATCTGTTGATGTGCGCTGTGACTGCTTCACATGCAGCGGTGAGGCTGGGCCCTGTGACAGTCCTTGGGGCTTGCAAAGCCTGAAAGACAAATGTCCTCTCTGGCCCTTCCAGGGAGCAGTTTGCCAGCTCCTCTGATGTGTGAGTAGGAAGTGGGCCCAATTATACAGGGCTTTGAAGGCGGGGCAAAGGAACCATGATTTATTCCTGTAGGGATTATCAAGTCTAGAGAGAGTTTGACATGGGAATGATGTGGTCAGCTGTGTATTTCTGAGCTCTGCATAGTATGGAGATGACTGGAAGGAGGAGGTGACCTTTGAGAACAATTAGGAGCTGATGAAAACCATGGTCTTAGTCAGGCATCCTCAAACTACGGCCCACAGGCCACATGCGGCCCGCCGAGGACATTTATCCAGCCCGCTGGCTGATTTTGCTCCATTTGTTTTTTAACTTCAAAATAAGATATGTGCAGTGTGCATAGTTATTTGTTCATAGTTTATTTTAAAAACTACAGTCCGGCCCTCCAACGGGTCTAAGGGACAGTGAACTGGCCCCGTGTTTAAAAAGTGTGAGGACCCCTGTCTTAGAGGGACAGCCCCGGGAAAGCAGATGCACTAGCTCGTCATCTGCAATGGAGTGAGGTGGGATGAGCTTGCAGTCCATGGCTCATCCACCCTAAACGCTTGGCCACAAAGATTGGGTGCCAAACTCGGATTGTATCATAGAGATGAATAAAATAGCCGTCTTATTGATAGATTGGTTTCAAATTAAATGGCAGAATTTGCTTCTGGGCAAGATCAAATGGATTTGGTCTTTAGTCTCGTATACCACTTGAAAAAATGAAAACATGTCAGTAAGTGCTTTAGAAATGATGAAGGTGGACTAATACAAAGTTGTTGTTTAATTGCTACGACAATGGAAGCTGATAGTCTCCCTGTGCCGGACCTTATCAAAGGTTAACAGGCACAAGAGGGTAAACTCCCAAGGGACTGTGCTTCCTCTTAGTCCTGGAGAGTTACAAGCAAGGCCTGGAGAAGATGCGTGGGTGAGGGTGGGAGAGAAAAAAGCAGCTTAGAATAATAGCTGTTAAATGCCAGATGCTTTTTATTCGTCATCTTGTTTAACCTTCACAATTCGTGAGGTAGGTAGTGTTTTTATCCCTCGTTTACACCTGAGGAAATGTAGATGTCAATGGGTCAAACAGCTTCTCCAAGATGACACAGTGGATAACTACTGAGAGGAGGCAGGTGACCGTCAGACATTAACCCCTTTGCGCTTTGTACCTGACCACCCCAAACAAGTAGTTCTGGTCCCTCGTGAGCCGCTGGCCACACCTCCAGCTGGGAGAGGAGTGAGGGAGTTGTGGGCCGCAAGAAGCACTCTAAGGTGAGCCAGTGGCAAGTGGGGAAGCATCACAGACTAACAGTCGCCTCCGCTTCCAGTCGCAGGTCCAGGCCCTTCGGGTCACATCGGATCTCAAATCGCCCGTGTCCTTGTCACAGAGGGCCTTGTGTCAAGTGATCTGTGGAGGACAGAAAGAATCAACCCAGCTCCGAACAGCAGGTGCCACAGAAGCTCGTGAAAGGGCCAGCTGGCACTGCAGCTCTGGAAGGGCCAGGGTCTCTGCTCTGGGCTAACTCACCTGGTTTCATCTCTACGTTTTTAGTAACAGCTTTGCAAATAGGTAAAGTAATTGGGGTCACAAGAACCCAGGCTCTTGACTTCTCTGTCACCCTGCCTCCATAAGTGACAGTCCACCTGTGTGAGGGTGTGTCTGAGCATTATGATGCAGGATGGCTGGAAGCATTTTGCTTGTCAAGGATTAGGTTTTCTATCGACTACCATCCCAATTCCCATTCCAGGTTGCAGAATTGTTATAAAAGCCGCTACACACACAGTAGAGGGAAGGAATTCCACTCCAGAGGAAGGTTCACATCCTGACTGAGTAACCTTGGACTCCATTTTTCTTTTTTTTTTTTTCATCTGCAAGATAGGGGTGATAAATCCATTAGATAATTGATGTGAAAATGCTCTTAAAACGATGAAGCATTATTCCAATGTCAAGTGTTAATTTTACTCTCTCATTCTGCGGTGAAGAAACAAACCCATCAAGATGGGGCGGTGCATAGCCAAGGCCTTGCAACTGGCAAGTGGAAGCAGCAGGACTTAAAGCCAGCGCTGTTGGCTCAGCCCAGCTTCGCTGCAGGCGGCTGGGGCTGGGGAAATGCCTGGGCAAACACCACTGGCTATTCAGGGTCCGTTTACAGTCCCCATCACGTGGCCTGAGGGCAGATGAAGAAGGACTGATAAGGCAGAGAATGAGTGCAATGGAAAGAAAGCACCGCTTGGTGCCAGCCTTGCTTTCTGTCCCCTCGCCAGCTGTGTGACTTCAGGTGTGTCATGTTATCCTCTCTGGCTTTAATTTCCTTGCTAATGAAGTGGGGATAAAGTCCTGCCCAACATACCTACCTCAGGTGGCTTTGAGATTCCAATCGACGTGCCAGGGTGTGGGAACAGGCCGGCAAGTGGTAGAGGGTCACAGCTGGCAGCTGTGGTGGCCCCATTTCTCCCAGTCTTTGTTCACAAGTGAACCACCCACAACTGCCCCAGGCCCTCACCCACTTCCCACCTATGCTACCACCTGCTTGTCTAGCTTGCTGCTAACTCATTCTCCATGACCCCAGCCGCACACGTGCTCAGATAGAGGTATGTGCCACACAGAAGGGCTTCCTGGTGGGCATGTGTGCAGGCTCTGGCATGCCTCCAGCAGCTTTCCACTGGGCCAGCTGGGGCCTGGGATGGCCAGTTGCAGGGGTACTCAGAGCGTCTTAACTACATCCGTCTTATATCACATAATGAACGGTTTCCATTTTCTGCAACTTGAGTGGGAAGCACTGCCACTCATGTAGAACTCACAACACACATGTGAATCCACACACAGACCTGGGACAAATTCCTTTCTTCATAAAATGGATAAAATAAAACCTATCTTTGTAGGATTATTGTGAAGAACAAAATAGTTCTGTAGTGGACTTAATTGGCATTTACCTAGCATGTGCTCAAATAGTAGCTCTTATTATTAATACTTAACATCAAATTTCTTACCTGCGGATGGAATGTCCCTGAAACTGTACAATTATGTGTGAACTACTCATTGAGTGATAACCACGAGGTCAGTGTTTCGAGGCCCCTGGGTGCTCCTCGAGAGAAAGCAGAGGCTGTCTGCTTCCACAGATACAATTTAATCCATATAATGTGCAGTCGAAGGAGGGATCAGTATCAGAGCCTAAACTGTGAGAACCCAGTGTGCAGATGGCGATGGATGACAGTGGGAGCCTGAAATACGCCACTGGAGAACAACCCCTCTCTGAAATTGAGGGAGGGGGGGAAAGTGGTCACTAAACAGTGCTTGGGAGAGAGGAGTATAGAAGATCAAAGGCATAAATCTGACCTGAACAGTTACAACTTTGTCAGTAGGTACCCCCTATGATGCAGGCTGGACCTGATCTGGTCTCCGAAACTTTCTGTATTTTTGGTTTGTATTGCTTTGTTCAGTGTTTGTTTCTTCATATTACGGTGCATCTCAGAGGTGTTATGTCAGTGGAGGGCACCCTCTTGAAGCTGGGTTAGATGTTTTTCTGTTTTCGGTATACGAAGCCCAGGACTGATGAGCCGTTAGGGACTGCAAGCAGAATAAGAGTTTCAGGGGAAGGAGGGGGACAGTGGTGGTGGTGGGGTTTAAAGAGAGATGGTGTCAAGGAATCAATGTAGAAAAAAAATGTCTGGAAACTGTGGTAGCAATTGTACAATTCTACTTCACAGGATTGAACTATGGAGTGATATATATATATCCAATTCACATATATGTATATATATA